TTGTCTCTTAATTTCTGTTTATAACATAAACACTATGTGTATATACACTCAGCAAACCGAACATCAGTTGGGTTGTTGTTGTCTTAGTCAGCGCTTCTTCGAGCTTGGAGCAGTGGATGCCGGGTGCCATCCCCCATTTTCTTGTTGGGTGAGTCACCCAGCTCCCGTTTTCTTTGGGTGAATGCTGGGTGAGTGCCCATTTTCTTTTGGCTGCCCATTCTCTGTGATTGAGTCTGGAGGGACTCATTTATACTGATTTAAATTGTAAACAATTTTACAGCTTTTTTTTGAAGGACCGGCTTGGGTTTAGTACAGGGTTTACAACTTTTACCCGGTGGCCAAATTTTGGGGGGGAAAATTTAAAAATGGCTTACCAGCCGAAATAAAGAAATTAAAAAGGAAAACATCATCCCCTCCCCCCCCCCTGAAAAGGGGAAAAAATTTTGGAAACCCCCTAATTTAAATTTTTTTTTTAAAAAATAATTCCCCCTAGGGGTGAAAAGCAATTTATTTTTTTTAAAATTACGGTGGAAAAAAAACCCCCTTTCGCGACTATTTGTTAAATTTTCCCTTTTTGAATACCCCCGACTCTTTTTTCCCCTTTTTTTGAGCGGGATGGGGGGTTTCACCCTTGGGTTGGTAGAAAAAAACCCCCTTGGTGTCCCCCCTTTTTTTTGGGCCCCGGAAAATTAGTTAAAATTTTTTATGTTAAATTTAACAAGGGAAGCTTCCATTTTTGTGTTTATTTTTTAATGGACACTTTTTTTCCCCACGGGTCTTTCTTTTGGGTTACCTGCAATGTAATGGTCAAAGAAAATTAAGAAACAAGGGCCCCCTTGCCCCCCCCAAAGAAAAGGCCTTGAATTTTTCCCCCCCACTCCTAGGGGAAAGAGTTTTAAAAAATTTTTTTTAAAAATAACCGTTTTTTAAGGAAAAAGGGGGAAAATTTTTCCAGTTGTTGGGGAAAAATGACGTTTTTTTTTAAAAAATAATTAAAATTGTTTTTTAAAGGACCCCCTTTACCTCGCTACTTCATCTCTTTTAAAACCGTGTAAAAGAAAAAAATATTTCCCCTTAACGTGGGCCCTCATTAAAAGGGGGGGGGAAATCCCCCCCCTGAAAATTTTAATGGAAAATTTTCCTTCCCCCTTTTACTGGGGCCCCCACCTTTTCCGGGCCCCCAATTGTTTGGGGGAAATTTTTAAACTTTACATAAATTACTTTAACTAAAAGTTTTTTTTAATTTCAAAAAAAAAAAATAAAAGAAAATTCTTTCCTTAAATTCACACCCCTAACCAGTGTATCCCCGTTCCAAATTTTATTTTTTTATGAACCTTTTTCATAAAATTTTTCTTTGTTTCGTGCCCTTCCCCGTTTTCAAAATTTTTTCCCCAAAACGACCCTTTCTCGCCAAAAAGTTTCCTTTTTCCCCTTTTTCCCTTTTTCCCCCCAAGACAATTTTTAATTAAAACCCTTTTAAGGATAATTTTTACATTCACCTGGTTTTTAGCCAATTCCAAAAAGAAACCTATTTTGTTTCCCATTTAAAACCGCCCTCTCAAAACCCCTTTGTTTACCCCCCCCAACCCCCCTTTTACCCAAAAAACCAAAATTTCCCCAAACCGCCCTTTTCCCAAAAAAAAAACCAAAAATAAAATTCCCTGAACTTTTAAACGCAAATTTAACTGGAAACCCTTTTGGGCCCCCAAGTTACGGGGAAAACTTTATAGAAATTTTTTCCCAAAATATTTAAAAAATTAAAAGGGAAAATCTTCTTTTAAACAGGGGGGGACAGGGCCAACTTAAAATACTTTTCTAAAAACCCCGGCTAAGACCCCCTTTTGGGTGTCTACTCCCGGTTTCCCCAAAACCCACACAAAAGGGTTCCCACCTCCCTTTTTGTTTTTTCTTTTTTTCCGGGGGGGTTTTCTTCTTGTGAGGGGGTCCTTTTCCATTTAAGGGGGTTTTTTCTTTGGTAATTTTTTTATACTTAATTTTTTCCCTTTTTTGGGGGGGTTTCCCCATACGGAGGGGGTCTTCCTAACTCAGATTTTTTTTTTTTTAAAAAAGGGTGTTTTCCATCTGAATTGGGGGGCCCTTTCTGTAAGGGGTTTTTCCCCATTCAAGGTGTTTCTTTTTGAGTGTGGGCCCCCTATTCGAAGGGGGCCCCCCAAGGGGGGGTTTTTTTCTTAAGTGGGGGGTTTTTTTAACTTGGGGGGGTTTCCTCTCTTTGCAGAGGGGGGTTTTCCATTTGAAGGGGGGTTTTCCTTTTCTGAGGGGGGGGTTTTTCCCCCTTGTAGGGGGGTTTTTTCCCCGAGGGGGGCCTTTTTGTGGGGGTCCCAAAAAGGGTTTCCCCCCGGGGGGGGGGGGTTTTTATTTTTTTTGGTGGGGGTTTCCTTTTTAAGGGGGGTCTTCTTTTTTTAAGTGGGGGTTTCTCTCAATGTAGATGGGGGGTTTTTCATTTAAGGGGGGGGTTTCCTCATCGGGAATGGGGGTCTTCTCTATCTGTAATGGTGGTTTCTCTTGTAGATGGGGGTTTCTTCATCTTGGGGGTTGGTTTCTCATACAAATGGGGGGTTCTTTTCTGGATGGGTGGGCCCCAAAAAAAAGTTCCTAACCTGTTAGTGTTTTCCTCCAACCCTGTGTTTGTTCCATTTTGGGGGTTTTACTGAGATGGGTTCTTCCCCTTGTAATGGGGGGTCTTCTTTGGGTGGTGGTCTTCCCCAAACCTGTAGATGGTGGTCCCCCATTAATTTGGGATTTCTCTCATTTGTGAGGGGGTTTTCTCATACTGTAGATGGGGGTCTTTCTCTCATTCTGTAATGGTGGGTCTTCTCTCATACTGTAGATGGGGGGTTTTCTCTCATCTGTAGATGGTGGGTCCTTCTCTCATACGTAGATGTGGTCTTCTCTCATACTGTAGATGGTGGGTCTTCTCTCTTTCTGTAATGGTGGGTCTTCTCTCATACGTAGATGGTGGGTCTTCTCTCATTCTGTAGAGGGTGGGTCTTCTCTCATACTGTAGATGTGGGTCTTCTCTCATTCTGTAGATGGTGGGTCTTCTCTCATACTGTAGATGGTGGTCTTCTCTCATACTGTAGATGGTGGGTCTTTTTTCATACTGTAATGGTGGTCTTCTCTCATTCGTAGATGGTGGGTCTCTCTCATACTGTAGATGGTGGGTCTTCTCTCATACGGTAGATGGTGGGTCCTCCCATACTGTAGATGGTGGGTCTTCCCTTCATACTGTAGATGGGGGGTTTTCTCTCTCATACTGTAATGGTGGGTCTTCCTCTCATACTGTAATGGTGATTTCTTCTCTCATACTGTAATGGTGGGTCTTCTCTCATACTGTAGATGGGGGGTCTTCTCTCATACTGTAGATGGTGGGACTTCTCTCATACTGTAGATGGTGGCTTCTCTCATACTGTAGATGGTGGGTCTTCTCTCATATGAAAAGATGGTGGGTCTTCTCTCAACTGTAGATGTGGGTTTTCTCTCATACGTAGATGGTGGGTCTTCTCTCATACTGTAGATGGTGAGTCTTCTCTCATACTGTAGATGGTGGGTCTTCCTCATTCTGTAGAGGTGGGTCTTCTCTCTACTGTAGATGGTGGGTCTTCTCTCATACTGTAGATGGTGGGTCTTCTCCCCATACTGTAGATGGTGGGTCTTCTCTCATACTGTAGATGGTGGGTCTTCTCTCATACTGTAGATGGTGGGTCTTCTCTCATACTGTAGATGGTGGGTCTTCTCTCATACTGTAGATGGTGGGTCTTCTCTCATCTGTAAGTGGTGGGTCTTCTCTCATACTGTAGATGGGGGGGTCTTCTCTCATACTGTAGATGGTGGGTCTTCTCTCATACTGTAGATGGTGGGTCTCTTCATACTGTAGATGGTGAGTCTTCTCTCATACTGTAGATGGTGGGTCTTCTCTCATACTGTAGATGGTGGGTCTTCTCCATACTGTAGAATGGTGGGACTTCTCTCATACTGTAGATGGTGGGTCTTTCTCTCATACTGTAGAGGGTGGGTCTTCTCTCATACTGTAGATGGTGGGTCTTCTCTCATTCTGTAGATGGTAGATCATCTCTAACTTTGCTGTACATTATCTTCTGTCCACACTTACTAGCCTCTCTCTCTTATCCAGGTGAAGAAATTCTTTATGGCACTGGGGAATTGAAGGATGAATAAGGCTGCAATCATGGGGGGATATTTTACCTGCACCAGGGCAGAGCAGTTTACTGTCAGTCAGGTTTGAGTCTGTCTTGTAAAATTTCCCCATTATGTGTTTCCTCTGTTTTAGAATGCATATAAGCAAACACGGATCTATTTTTTAGTTAACATTTTGGTCCCTGCCCTTTGATCACTTCTAAAGGGTACAGTTGTTAAAAAGACGTAAGGAGGCCTCCACATTTGTGAGGACGGGATCAAGCCTAAATGAATTTTGAAAATTTGCGAATTTTTGGTTTTAATCGGGAGTTTATTGGAGAGAGTTCGGGGTCAACGCCCCGCGCCCGGTCTGTGACCAAAGCTCCTTATCATGTCCCAGGATGCGACCACACCAGTCGACTAACACCCAGGTACCCATTTTATGATGGGGAAATAGAAAACAGTGGAAAAAACACGTCCATGTTTCACTCTGGCTGGGAAAATCGAACCCAGGCCCTCCCGTGTGAAGCGAGAGCGTTAACCACCAGGCCAAGAGCTGTTACAGGGAAATATAATAATGTTGTTCTGTAACGTACTGTGGGCTTTCTCCTCCTTGGCAAATAAAGGTCCTGGCAGGCATCTTTTTCCAATCCAGGGCTGTTCATCAATATTCCACACCTGTTTCGGGCCCTGTATCCCTTCTCATCGATGATATTTTTCGAAGCACCGGGGGCCTGCAGCTGCCGAACATGATCTGCCGAACCTGATTCCCCGTCATCTTCAGGTTTTTCCCATTGAGAACCGTCTCTTAAATTTATCAAACCATCCTTTACTTGCTAGGAATCAGGATGGGTGATGGAGGACTTAATGGTTCTTCACCGGTGCAGAACCCACGTTGTTTGGTAAATATGATTGGGCGGCTGGGCATTCGCGAATTTTTCGAAGCTCGCAAAAGTGGAACTCTGAAAGTGGAGGGCTAGCTGTATATATAGGCAGACAGTTTTTAATAAATATGTCCTAGTGTTTGATTGCGTGTCTTTCTAGACCAACTGTTGGTATCTATTACCCAAGTTTAATATCATGTTCCTTCTGTACCTCTCGAGGTTGGGTCACCTTGGATGTGTGGAGAGGAGGTTTTTGTGGATTTTGGCTTGATGATTAATGTTTGCTCAAGTGCAGTTGTGTGTTTCATGTAACTTTAATGCCGAAATGGGAAATCATAGCCCCAATAATTATTTATAAGCACATACTGTAAGCTAACTGGGTTTAACTGTATGTAAATAACCAAAAAAGGGACAAACCGTGACTGGAACATACACAAGTAACCTGCACATAGAAGAGGGGCTTGCGGATGATGTTTTTGGTCCGACTTGGACCATTTACAATGTCACACTAACGAGAAATAGAGCAGGACGGGTATAAATAGGCAGGAAGAGGTAGTGGTGGTGGTAGTAGTAAGTATAGTGGCGGAGATGGGAAAAAGTAGTAATGGGGAAGTAAGGAGGAGGACCAGTCAAATACAAAAAAAGGGGAGCACTGCCAGGGAGCTAGGTGCCCACAAGGGAGAGCAAGAACACAGAGGTGGGGGAGGGGAAATAATGAAATAATTTAAAGAAGGAACAAAACACAGAATGAAGAAAGAAAGAAAAGTCAGAATACAAAAAAGGAAAGAGGGAAAGGTGAAGGGGAGAAGAAGAAAAAAGGAGGACTCAGGTTAAGTCACGGGGGTTTTTGAAGTTTGGAGCATTTTACATGTAGTGGGAGAGGAAGGGATCACAGAGACGAAGCCAGGACTAAGATTCATACAAGGAAAGTTGTGTATTAGAGAGGATTCAACAAGACGGTGACTGTTAAAGTTGGAAGTAGGGAAGACAGTTTTAGCAGAAGACCAGTCCCATAGGATGGCTGTGATCTCTGACGTGACAGAAAAGAGCATTGTTAGTGTCGGCAAGCCTAACACTATTTTTGTGCTCCCTAAGTCTGTCAGAAAGAGATCGGCCAGTTTCTCCAAAGTATTGAAGAGGGTAGGAGGAGCAAGAAATAGAGTAGACACTAGGAACATCTGTAAGGGAGAGAGGTATGAACGAGATTAGTGCGAAGAAATGTTTGTCTGGCGGAAAGTAAGCTTGATGTCTAAGGGACGGAGAGAATTGTTGAGATTAGAAAGACCGAAATGTAGGAAGGGAGAGGACAGAAGAGTTCCCAGGATAGAGAGTTTGGGGGAGAAGAAATTACGTTTAGCACGTGAGAGGGCAGAGTCTATGAAATGGAAGGGTAGCCAAGACGGGAAAACGAATTATGAAGAGTGGGAAAAATCTGCTGGAAGGAACTGAGGAACACAGTGCGGGGGGCACGGAGAAAGAGGAGATAAAAAACACTTTTCCTGACTGGGGAAGCATAACAGGAAAAGTGTGAATGTACATGCCACTGTGCATAGGTTACGATAAACGGAAAAGGCAAAAACCGTATCTGAGTGGTGGGCATGAACATCAAGGAAAGGAAGCAAGGAATTAGATTCCCATTCACTTTAAACTTAATGGAAGGGGGAAGATAATTAAGAGCATCAAGAAAAGGTTGGAAAGACTTGAGTCTGAGGCCACAGAGCAAAGATGTCATCAACATAGCGGAGCCAGAGTGGAAGGGCGCACATCGATGGTAGGAAAGAACAGTCTGGAAGTATTCATGAAAGATAAACAAGGGCACTTATGTACTTAGGTACTTATAAATTATTTACTAATACATAAAGTAAGGCATATGTAGTTTTGAGATGCAAAATTACAGATGTATATGTAACCAAGAGTGAGACAAGTGTGGGATACTCAGTTTATGGTGGTCAGTTTCTTAACAATAGTTTGTGAATCAGTGATAAAACTGTGTTAAACAGATCATATTTCCCCATCTCTGTTGTTTTTGTTTTCCATCCTTCTTTCATGCCTCTCTTCATTTTGTCTTTTTTATATACATGCAGATAACCCATACTAGGAAACTGAAACTTAATCAACATTTTGTCTGACTTGGACCATCGCTATGATAGTCAGTGGTCCAATTTGGACCGAAAACTATTGTCATAAGTTTGTCTCTCATATACGGGGTATTTGTGTATTATTCTACTCATGGTATTGTCTTTTTTTTTGTCTTTTTCTTTCTTTTTGGCCCTCTCACTCCCACACACTCCCTATCCTCACTACTATTCTCCATGTTTCATTTTTCCTCCTTGGGATCTCCTCTCCTTAGAAAATTGCTCTTCTGTCCTCCCTTTACTCTTATTCCCTCCTCTTATTAGGCCTCTTACATTATAACCATTATATTTTTTTATTATTAACACATCAGCCATTTCTCACCAAGGCAGGGTGGCCCATAAAAGAAAAACTTTCACCTTCATTCACTTCATCACTGTCTTGCCAGAGGTGCACTTACACTACAGTTTTTAAACTGCAACATTAACACCCCTCCTTCAGAGTGCAGACACTGTACTTCCCATCTCCAGGACTCTAGTTCGGCCTGCCGGTTTCCCTGAATCCCTTTATAAATGTTACTTTGCTCACACTCCAACAGCACGTCAAGTACTGAAAACCATTTGTCTCCATTTGCTCCTATCTAACATGCTCACGCATGCTTCCTGGAAGTCCAAGCCCCCTGCATATAAAACCTCCTTTACCCCCTCCCTCTAACATTTCCTAGGTCGACCTCTACCCTGCCTTCCCTCCACTACAAATTTATACACTCTCAAAGTCATTCTATTTTGTTCCATCTGCTCTTCATGTTTGAACCACCTCAACAACCTCTCCTCAACCCTCTGGATAATAGTTTTGGTAATCCTGCACCTCCTAATTTCCAAACTATGAATTCTCTGCATTATATTGACACCACACATTGCCCTCAGACATAACATCTCCACTGCCTCCTGCCCTCTTGTTGCAACATTCACCACCTATGCTTCACACCCATATAAGAGTGTTGGTATAACTATACCCTCATACATTCCCCTCTTTGCTTCCATGGACAAAGTTCTTTGTCTCCACAGACTCCTCAGTGTGCCACTCACCTTTTTCCCCTCGTCAATTCTGTGATTCACCTCATGTTTCATAGACCCATCTGCTGACACTTCCACTCCTAAATATCTGAATACATTCACCTCCTGTATTCTCTCTCCCTCCAATCTGATATCCAATCTTTTGTTACCTAATTTTTTTGTTGTCCTCATCACCTTACTGTTTCCTGTGTTCACTTTTAATTTTCTTCTTTTACATTACCCTACCAAACTCATCCACCAACCTCTGCAACTTCTCTTCAGAATCTGCCAAAAGTACAGTGTCAAACCTCTTGCCAACACCCAAGCATTCACTTCTCTTACAACCCCATCTATAAATATGTTGAAGAGCCATGATGACATCACACATCCCTGTCTAAGGCCTACTTTTATTGGGAAATAATACTCCCTCTCTCCTACACACACTAACCTGAACCTCACTATCGCCATAAAAACTTTTCACCGTTTTTTATAACTTACCTCCTATTCCATGCATTTGCAACATCTGCCACATTGCCCCTCTATCCACCCTTAATATGTTTTTTCCAAATCCAAAAAAAGGCCCAAAACCCTCTTTACCCTTTCAAATACTCTTTCCCTATCCCCTGTAAACACTTGGGTTTCCCAAAACCCCCGTACCCTTCCTAAAGCCTTCTTGTTCATTCTGCTATCCTACTTTCTGTTTTACTTTTAAATTCTTTCGGGTTATTATTTCAAACCATAAATTTTAAACCATATACTTAACGGGATTTTTCCCCCTATAATTTTTGATTTTTTTGCCCCCTTTGCCTTTATAAAAAGGGAAAACTTTGCTGCTCTTTTCCCAAATTTCCCTAGGAAACTTACACTTTTCCCAAAACATTTTTAAAAAAAACCCACCAATCTTTTCCAAACTAAAACTCCACTTTTTTTTAACATTTTCTATCTATACCCATCAATCCCAGTTTTCTTTAACCCCCCCCTTTCATTTACCCCCGCTGCACAAACTTCCACACCCCTCACAACCGCTCCTCCTCACTCCTACAGATTTTATTCCTCCTTGCCCTTTTACAGGGAAATCACAGTTTCCCAATATTTTATTTAAAATTTTTACCATTTTTTAGCCATTCAAATTAATTTTTATTTTACTGTGACAGATTCTCTGTCACGCACCCAAGGGTTTTTCCAGCGGCCAAAATAAATTGACAACCCCAGTAAAACATAAAAAAATATACAAGTAATAAAGGTAAATACATAAGAACATAAAAAGGGAAGAAAACACGCAAAAGGGGCCTACGGGCCCCCATGCAAGGCAGGTCCTTATCAAAACACCTTTTCCCTTAAAGCAAAAACCCAAAAAAATTAACCCCCCGCCCCAAATGACAACCAATCAAACCCACCCCCCCCACTCATATTTTTTGTCAAGTTTTCTTTTTAAAAAGGCTCCCCCAAAGGTCCAAAACCTCAAACACAAAAGAACAAAAGGGGAAATGGAGGAACACGGGAAAAAGGGCCTACGGGCCCAAAATACCTTACGGGAAAAGTCCCCCACTTATACAGCAGTTAGATTCCAGGCTACGCTTTTAAAGCGGGAAAACACTTTTTAAAGTAAAAAAGTGTTTTTTTAAACGTCAAATCCCATAAAAAAAAACCTGAAAACATGTTTATCCTATCATACTTTTAAATTAGCAAATAGTAGTCCTAAACAATGGATATAAAAAAAACAGACATTATTTACCTTAAAATATTTTTTCCCCCCTTAGTTATAGTGAGTGGGGGTGAATTTTTAAATTGTAGGAATGTGAATAAAAGGAAAAAGGGATAATTGAAAAAATGCTGTTTTTAGCAAAATTTCTGTAAAGTGGAGCCTGCCGTATTCACAAAACCCTTTCCCTTTCCCAAAAAAAAACACCCCAAAAAATACAATTAAAAGTGCTGTTTAAATTTGTCCCTTTTCACTGCCCTT